CTCTCTCTCTCTCTCTCTCTCTCTCTCGTTCTCCCTCTTTCTTTCATTTCTAGCAATGCAAATGTGACGAAAATGAAGAGCATCAAATAAAATTATCGCTCAATTTTTTAAAAAATCAAGTTTTTCGTAGCTAAAAAGATTTTTAGATTTCTTTTGTGTTAGGCAAAAAAAAAAAATGGAGAAAGAAGGCATTTTTTTTTTTGAAAAAGAATTTTTTGTTGATTTATATTGCCGTTGGCGTAGTTGGCGGAGAGAAATTTTCTACTGCCTTTAATAAATTGAAATATTCAAGCACTTTCCTATTACTTTTATGTACTGTTGTTAATTTAAATAATTTTCGGATCTAAAAATTGACCTATTTTGGATTTTAATTAAATACTATAATTTATAGTTCATGTATATTCTCATCTAAACTATAACGAAATGGTAGAAAATTTGTATATTTAGCATTAATAAATTTTCAATTTTACATTACTGTGAGAATAAATTATCAAAACGAAGTGATAATGATGATGGGTTATATTTCTTAAAAGATGATTTTTTTTTTCAAAACATTTTTTTCCTATTTTTTTTTTCATTTTTATTTTATTACTAACAATTAATAAATGATTATGAATGGAGTGGAATTTAAGATAAAAACGCTAAATATTTTTTTTAAAAAATAAGAAATGACCATTGAATTGCAAGTTCTCATTATTTCACTCATTTTTTTTTCCCTTTTGGTCATTTTCTTCGTTTTGTTAAAATATAATGAGTGAAACAATTAAATTAATTTTTGTAATATTGCAGATTGTACAACCTTCGAAATGTTCCTTCTTTTTATCTCATTTTGTATTTTGCAAAATATTGTAGCACAACACGCTGGCAAGTTCCTTTTAAATTCCAATAAATCAAAAAAAAAAATCAAAATAAGAGTTTGTATATTTTTTAATAATTATTAGAAATTAAGCGTTACAAGCAAATACTTTCGTATTTTGCAAAATTTAAATTTGAACTTTGTAAAACCATGATTTTATTCGTTTCTAAATTTGTGCTTTGTATTATTTGCTCAATATCACTATCTAATTCATTCATGTATTGTTTTACTTGTGATAGCGATAAATTATTTGAAATTAATTACTAGAAACAATCAATTTTTTAATGTTCGCTTTTCTGCTTCATAAAATTTAAATTTACAAGCTTATAACTTTGTTAATTTCCAAATTTAAAAATCTTTTTACAAATTATAGCTTAATTTCTATTTATTAGATATTGTTTTNCAATTTATCCATGAATTATTTAAAATCTTTTCTGATAGNGTAGATAAATGCTAAAATAATCAATTTTTTATCGAATTTTATCATTCTAACAATACTCATTAATTTGCAGTTGTACGTTTTGATGAGATTGATAGTGATAATGATAGGCACATAACGTTTAACGAATTGAAAAAATGGCACAGAACAAGTCGTATAATTCGGAGTGATAACGAATTGAAAGAAATGATTCGATCAAGAGATCGAAATAATGATGGAATGTTAAATATAGCAGAATTTGTAACATTATTATTAACCCGAAATCGGATTAATCGAAATAAGGAACTTTTTGAAGTAAAAAATTATTCAAATCAACAAACTGTTCTTTTTTTTTTGCTTTGAAAATATTTGACAAGTTATTAATTAATTTTAAAAGTTTTTATTTTATTCACTTTTTTGTGGAATAATAGAAGTCAATAAAAGTTACAGCAAATAAAAAAAGGCAAGTTTAGTTCTAGAAAGTTTGAAAAAGAAGTAAAAAAGACGTTATTTATTGATTCATTCAAGAAGTTTTTTTTTTTTTTTTGTGTTAGCTTCCTTGATTATTTTAAATTCGCTTTCTTTTTCTGTCAATCATTTTGTTTTATCATAGCAAGTGGATATAAATGATGATGGCGTGATAACGCGAGCTGAAGCCATGAAATCGAGGAAAAATGGAAATAATGAAAAAATTATACATGAAATTTTTCAAGTCTGTTTTTTTTTTTAAATTAATTAAAGCAATATAGAATTAAACAGTATAATAGCAAAATTTGGAAATATTTTTTGATTAATTATTATTATCAAGAAATAAATTTGATAGTAAACAAATTATTTCGCATTTTTTAATTTCAGTTAATTGATATTAATAATGATGATAAAATTACATTTGAAGAATTAACGTCTGTTATGGATGGTAATTCAGGTGCTCAACAACATTCCGGAACACAGGTAAGCAATTTTTTTTTTGCGGCAAAAGAGAAATGAATTAGCTTTCTTTTTACTAACCTTATTCAAAAATATATTTTATTTACTGTGTAAATTTTGTTTTGTTAAACTTCACGAGAAGAAATTTAAACATTCTGTAAGTTTACACGATAATATGCTGCATAAAATTAAATTAAATAATGTTAAAACATGGTAGTGGAGTAACATTATTATCGTTATTATTGTGATTACTATTATTATTATTGTTATTACTATTATTACTATCAGTATTACTATCATTATTATTGTTATTAAATTAATTCTTTTCTAATTTAGGGATCAGATTTTCAACTCATCATTTAATGTAAATATTTCAGGTAAGAAGGAAACAAAATTTAGCTCATCAATTGATAACACTTATTGATCAGAATTTTGATCAAAGATTATCTCTTCAAGAAGTGCAAAATTTTGCTGATGCAAATAAAAGAGTAAGTAATAGATTGAATTATTTGATTTTGTATGCTTTTAAGTGCTGCTGTTAATACTTCAAAAATTCTTGCTAGTTAATAATAAAATTCAACTAATTAATTTGTTTATTTTCATATAATGCTAAAATAAATATGAAATTGGACTTTTCTCCTATCATATCAACCAAGTTATAAGAATATTCCGATAATGCAATGCTAGGAATAATTCGAATAATGAATGTCTCAATTCAAATAAAATTGAATGGAATTATATCGAATACTGTTTTACTGTAATTCTTTCCAACATTAAATGTTAGAATAGAGGAAATGAAACATTTTGTTTGCGTTTCGGTTGTTAGCATTATTATTCGTTCCTTCTACAATGAAATGAAATATAAATGGTGAATTGTTTCAGGGAAACAGAACTGGAATACTGAGAGAATTCGAGTACATCGATTCTAATAGGGATGGCTTTTTAACAATTAATGAAATAATTAAGGAACCGGAAAAAATAGCGGCATTAGTACATTTCCAGGAACCACCACCAGTTATCAATAATTAGAAATGTATTGAATCCAATATTTTTATTGCTTTTACAACATTATTAATTCAAATAAATTTAGATATAAAATTAAATTTATTATAATTGTTTAGTAAAATTTTTGTAGCGGAATTATGATATTATTTATTTTTTTTGATAATGACTATGAATGCTATAATTATACAAGAAATTTTAGCATGCGTAAAAAACGTAAAATAAATCTAACGTTTTGAATATTGCAAATTTTTAAAATATTCTTTAAAGTATCTGAAACTTACAGAATATACCGTAAATTTCATCAATAATCAAGTTATAATTATTAATTAGCTATTAATTGGCTTCATAGCTATTGACAAAAAGTGATTTAAAGTGATGCAACAAAAAAAAAAAAAAATGAGCTGCTCAAAAATTCGAAATTAAGAATATGGAGAATTTTTTTTTTGAAATTAAGAATATGGAGAAAATTCTATGCAATTAATAATGCATTGTACTTAATTATTTAAATATTTAAATATGATTCGAAAAAAAATAAAAGCTTACTTGGTACCCTGGTTTTACAATATATAATTTGGAATTTGGCAACCACAATCAGTTAATAAGTATTACATTTAATTAATAACATTTGTTATTTTGTTCTTAGCATATTGCTTTTACATTTACATGGAAATACGAGTATAGTAATGAATTCAAAAAAAAAATATTCAAATAAGCAATTAAAATCATTTCGTTTACATTTATTCCTCACATACAATTGCTGGAATGATTTGACTCTTAAAAATATTTAATCGTTTTTCAAAGTTGATCTATTAGGAGGAAAAATGAATGAAAATAAGTTCATAGCAAAAGGAATTTAATATAATTGTTTATTTTTGAAATCAATTAACGATGATTATGGTTATTAAGGATACATTTTTCTTCTTTTCATATCATTACAATACACAATATATTCATGCCATAACAAATATTCTTCATTTGATTTTATCAAATTCTAAAACTTTTATACATTTGTAATTTTAATCATTCTACTAAATTATTTTTAAAAATTTTAAACAATTTGTTGAAAAAATGATTGGCGAATTTTAGTAATAACAAATGAAATTGTTAATCATATAATATATCAAAATTGATGGCATCTTTTAAGTTTATCTTGTGATTAGTATTTAAATAATAATGAATTTTATTTACTTTGACAAATTCAAACTTGCATTTACTATCAGATTTTGAATTAATGATTCCTTTACGATCGATATTTGATTTCAAAAAATCCTAGGAATGAAAAGAATTTCAAAAATGATTTCAAATTAAATCCAATTTATGTGAATTGTTGAAGTTGT